CCCCTACAGATGAGCTCCAGGACCCTCAAAGGCAGGCCATGGACTTGTGCTTCTAGTGCAGAACCTTTCAGGGCAGTGCTCTCCAGAGGACAGTATTCCTGTGGGGGCCAGAAGTAGCCTTCAAGCAAGGGTGCCAACCTTCAACTGATGCCGGTCCTTAGGATTTAATACGAGCCGTGAGGTCTATTTCACCACATACAGTTTTATATTTGCCTGGTTATCAGTTGTTGCCCTGTCTTTCAAAGAACTAATATTTCTGAAGCTATTGGCTGTATTCCCATACCAGGATTTCTTTTTTAATTCTCCACTTTCAGATTCCCTAGTGCCCTCTCTTCCCCAAATCCATTTGCTTCTTTCCTTAATCTCGTCAGATCATAGATGTGGCACAAAACATATAAAAATTTATTAAAATGTGGAAACTCTTTGACTCTTAAACCACCTCAAATATAATTTGCCTGGATGGTGTCAAAACTTAATATCCTTTTTGAAGTTTTTTTTTTTTTGGTAAAACTGTCATAGCTGACTTTTGATATCTAAAGCAAATTCTATCTGCACATTTAAGTATTCCACTGGGAGATTTATGTCACTGACTTCAATTGCAAAGCACACATCCTTTTTGGAATCTCCCTTATATGTATAACCCATCACTGGGGCTTACACTACAGAAGACTCAATTTCTCTGTAAAATTCCTTCTAAATAAATCTAGCATCCTTGTTAACTCCAAAATGGCTATTGCTCTGGAAATCACTCCTCCCAGATCAAATCCTAGAGAATGGACTGGATTGTTCCATTGTACTGTAATGAAATTAGACTGAGGTGAATACAGCTTAAAATATGCATTCCGGGCCATGAGGAACTGTTACTCATATTGTTGGCACAGTGTTCTTGAAGCACAAATGTTATAATGTATGGGGGTTGCTCTGAAAATTGTTAAGGAGCAACAACAAATGTGAGGTTATTTCCACCCCCAAATTGTCAGGAAGTGCTTCCTTCCGAAGGGCCGGCCTTGGTGAATACCTGGCACACAGTGATTTGAGATGAGGTGCATGACAGCGATTCTTGGCTTTCTCCCCTCCCTCTTCATCCTCTGAGGGGGCCAGAATAGCTGGGAGACGCCTGGCCAGTTGCTGGAACAGAGTTCAGGACCCTGCTAAAACGGGCGTCACCTCTCTGAGCCTCAGTTTCTTCAGGGGACAATGACACTTCACAGAGTTGTGATAGAGATTAAACGAGATTGTGCAGGCAAAGTGCTAAGTACTGGGGACACAGTAAGTGCTCACCAAATGGGAACTATTATCGATTTCCTTCTCCTCATCCTCCGAGTCACTGCCGACAGGCCTTGCAGGGCCCCTCAGCCCCAGTCGGTATGTCAGCCTCAGCTCCTGCCGAGGACTTCCAGGAGCCCTTGAAAGGGCCGGAAATGGTGTTGTTGGGTTGCTGAGCAAAGAGGCTGGTCCTCATGCTTCTAGAAGGTCAACGCTGACGGGCTCGGCCCTGTCAGCAGCTGGAGAACCTTTTCAGGGGCGCGGCTTCCGGGAAGAGCAGGAAGAACCTCCAGGTGGGGGCGGAGCCAGAGGCCCTGTGCTCGAGGCCGAGGTCATGCAAATAAGGTATAAATATGCTAATATGCCCGGTTTTCCAGGGAACAGGAGGGCACTGCCTGGACAGGTAGAACTCATGAGGGACAAGGAAAGGAAATGAAGAGGACACGGAGGCTCATCCGGGCTGCTGGATGGAACCAAGTCCAGGCAGCTCTCGCACTGGGAGAAGACGTCTGTTTCCCAGCATGTGGGTCTTGCTCGCCGTCCTCACCGGCTCGCGGCTCCTCACCGAGGGTGATGAAGAGGTGGGGGTGAGAGGTTCTGTTGGCAGCATTAAAGTCTCTGCCCGAACTTAGGAGCCAAAAGGTTCCTGCCAACAATATCACCTTGTTTTACAGATGGGGAAACTGAGGCTCAAGAGGTCAAGGCCCTTCTCTAAGGTCCCAGTGCCAGTGGCAGAAGCGCTCAGTTTAGCAGATTTTACTGGTCTGGTTTTGTTTTGTTTTCACTAGGGCACGTGGACACCACTCTGTAGGTGAAAAGCAGCAGCCCCAAATGCTGCAAAACTTGGTACATTACCAAGCATGTCCCGGACTACCCACCAGCCTGGAGGATTTAGAAAAGACTTCCTGGGGAAAGATGAAAGGCATTGGGGTGGCAGCCAGTAGCAGTAGCAGGCAAGGACAAATGATCATAGACTGGTCTGGAACATGTTGCTGTGTAAAAGGTGATGAAATCTTTCAGCTTCCCTGAGAACCAGCTCCGAGATAATGAAAGGGGAACAGAAGGATTAAGGTTAGATTTAAGGCAGCACTTTCTCCCAGGGCTGATAATGGGGCCCTTTATTTAATGACCAAGGAAGGCTGTGGGCTCACCCTGTCCTTCCCACTTCTGAGGCCTTTGGGAATCCATCTCCCTCCAGCCCCACACAGGCCTGCTTGGAGGACAAGAATGAATGATTGACTTTGAAAAGTCCCCACCACTCAGGTAAGAGATCCTTCCCCTGGATGGGCCTCCTGGGCTCTTTGCTGAGGGTGAGGACAGCAGACGTGCTGGCTCCGGGGCCCTGGGGGGAGAAGCAGCAGTCATGGCATCTCTTGCAACACGCTCCCTGCCAAATTGATTCAAATTGGCTTGGATATGAACATATGATTAAAGGAGCGGCGCGATTCATTTATCAGGAGAGATTAAAGAGCGGCATCTGCGCAGCTTAGCTGGGGGACAATTAAGGAGCAAATCGCTAAGTGTCTGTGCCACCAGGCATGGGGGCGGGGCACGGGGGAAGGACAACTGGGATAATCTGCCAAGGGGACACAGGACAAAAGGAGGTAGTTCAGGAGTCACTGCATGCTGCTGTTTCTGGGCACAGATGGGGCACCATGGGGAGCCCCATAGGGCTTTGGTCCTGCTCATGCCCCTTATCCAGGAGTCAGAGCAATCCTGAGGGTCTGAGATTAGAAAGGAGGATCTAGCAAGGCAGCTTTGAGCCTGTCAGTGACAGATTGCTGCCTGTTTTGCGGGAATCACTTAAATCTTAGGAACAATGAGTGTGTAGTTGAGGGCAGGAGCTTACCAAACTGTGAAGACACACTCAAAATGAAAATGGGCTTTGATGGCCCTACAGGCTTCTGGACTCCCCTGGGTAGTGGGGTGGAGGGAATCACCTCCTTCCCAGCCTGGAGCCCAGCACAGTGGCCAAGGGGCTTTGCTGCAGCTTGGAGAAGTATTGGTCTTGTGAGGTGATGTCTGGCTTCCCCAGACAGCCTATGGAGTTCCCTACCACCATCTTTCCCTGCCTCAGTGCCTTTGCTTAGGCTGTTCTTTCTTCCCAGCACAACTGTCCCAGCAATATCTACCTGTGGAAGTGCTGTCCTTTCTTCAAGCCCCAGCTCAAAATACCAGCTCCTTTTAGAAGCCTTGCCAGTCCCTCCCACCCATTCTTAGTGACTGTCTCCTCCCCACCCATAAAATGTCAAACGCAACTTCTTTGTCCTGTTATGTCTCATATAATTATTTCCAAAGGGATCTGCCCTAGCCCTAATCCACAAACCCCTGGAGGACAAACACTATGATTTACTTCTCTCTACTCATCAAAAGCTTGTGTATATTAGGAGGTGCAGTACCTATTTTGTGTGTCTAACTCCTCCACTAGAATATCCACTGGATGAAGGAAGGGACCTCATCCATCCTCAGCACTTAGAACAATGCCTGGACCATAGCATGCAGTTCTGAAATAGTTGACTGTTGAGTGAATGAACAGATGAATAATACACATTTTCTGACTTGAACACAGCTCTGTGCCCCAGGCCAGGCTATTAGAGACTAATGCTGGGACTTTCCCGTTAAACAGAGGCCTGAATCAGCGTGGGTGAACAGAGCTGGAATCTTGTCTGCAGGTGGCAGGGACTTTGTCACACTAGTTCCTGTGAGAAAAAAAAAATGCACCAAGCTATTTGAAAGCAGGATTAAAAAAAATGAAAGAAAGAAAGAAAGCAGGAGTAAAAGATGTGAGTGACAGAACAGAACATGAAGAGCTAGCAGTTAAAAAATTTAAAAAGTAACTTCACTTTTACTACTTTCTCTATTCAACCTTGGAAGGGGGCAGTTTCTTTCATTCAAGGTGGATCCACTTCACACTTCTTTTCCATTCACTTTGGGGGTGACTTTTCTTGCTCCTTTCCTTTCTTGCCCCTTTCTGGGTGGCTGACATCACCAGAGCATCAGCATTCGGCCTGATACCCTTTCCGGCCTACCTGTCCAAACCAGGGGAGCCTGATCGACCAGCTGTAAATACTTGATGCGTGAGGGAATTGTAACCAGTCGCATTACAGAAGGTAGAGGAGGAGGAGGAGGGAATCATTTGTTTCCTGCCCTTCTGCATGAGCTGCTTCTTAGCCGTCAGTGAGGGGACAAAGTGTGGACTGGGGCACAAAGACAGAGACTGTGCAGGGCAGAGAAGCCAGCACACCCAGCCTATTCAAGTTGACCTATAGTCAGTGGGGTTGGGGGCCAGAGTGAGTTCTGCCAAGTTCTGATCAGAAAGTCATCTTTGGAATGACTTTTGGAACTTAAAAAATATATGTATAATAAGAAAGGCTTGCCTCCTAAACAAAGCCAAATCGCCTAGAGAAGACAGGATCTCTGTAATTGGTGAGATCTAACAATCAGAGGGACCTCAACATTCTCAAGTGGAGGCCAGGGTAGGATGAGGCCAAACTAACAAGCCACAAGTTCTTAAAAGGTGGGGCTTGTGTCTTCCTTGACCATTCCTCACATCGACTGCCTCTCCCTGCTCCAGGTGACCTGCCAAAGCTCTCTGAGTTGCTGGTCTGACGTAGAGGTGGGCCAGAGACCACGGTGATTCCCCCAGGTCCTCACCAGAATCCTCATGCTGCTCCCCTGTGGCCACCCTGGACTTTACCTGAGCCTGAGGGAACAGGCAGGAAAATTGGCAAAGCCAAGAGGAAAAGGACATTTATTTCCATACATCAGGTAAACAGGGAAGAGAGCACAGCCCAATGAGTACAAACCAATTGCAGGAAAGGAGGGGGACAGCAGATGGGAGCGGCACCAGGCACTGCCCTTGGGCCCCCGAGTCTGGTGGTGGTGGTGGGATGACCTTTAGGGTGGAGGCGGGGACTGTCGGTCCACATGTTGTCATGTCTGGGATAAGTGTGTGTGGGCAAGGTGACTGGAAGAAGAAAAATGACTCAGGCTCAGGACACAGGGTGAGGACTCGTATCTAATATACTTTAGTACTGACCAAAACTTCCATCTTCAGTTTTTCTGATCACAAGCCCTCAACCCAAGGTCTTCCCTCTTAAGCTGAGCTTGTCATCCAGGAAACTTGGACAGAGGGGTGGGAGGCAGTGCTTGGATAAGCCCTGAACTGGTGTAGGTGGAATGGGTTTACTTTTAAATAGGTCATTGCACTTAACACACTGATGAGACGAAGAGGGGTGGGGGCTGGAAGTTCCGGCTGGTACGTATGCACCCCTGTCTGTGTAGGCTTGCTCACCCCAAACCCAGAAGCACCTGAGAGCCCCTCCCCACGAGGACTCTTAAGAACCTGGATCCACCTCTGCTCACCAGTCTCTCCAGCTGCACAGAGAAAAGACTGCTCTCTGAAGAGTGAAGATGAAGCTGAGATTCCCCTAGTCATTCCCGGTGTGAGGAGGCGGGCTGGCTGCCACCGCAACCCCCTCCCACTCTCAGGGATGCAGCTGCGATGGAGAGGTTGAGTATTTAAATTAAAAAGAAAAAGACAGCAGGCACTGAGAAGAAAAAGCCCTCACCCCAAGCCAGGGGGAAGAAATTGCTGTTCCCTCCCCAAACTCCTCCCCATGGACCCAGCAACCCAAAAACGTCCCAGTAGGCAATCTGTCCACTGTCCCTGAGCTGGGGGCTGAGATGGAGGTCAACTTGCTGGCTCCATGCAGTGCCAAGCCACCTGCTATCGCCCAAGGTGGCCTAAGGCAGGAGCAGAAAGTTTTTTCAGAACTGCTTTTCCCCCCACCTCTTCCACGTAGAGACTTCAGGTACCCACAGCCTTGGAAGCCCCCTGACCGAAGAAGGTCGGTGTTTCCCATGCAGGTCCACAGTCAGGTGGGGGAGACTCGTGCCCCACCATTTCCCGGGAGAGGCGCCGAGGCAGCGGTAGGCTGTGGGTGGGAGGGGTGTGCATCACTCCCCTGGGCTATGCATTGGTCTCGGTCTGCTTGGCCTCTGTGTCGCTGTCACTCAGATAGCTGTGGGAGTATCGGGGCCTGGAGGTGCTGTCGAGAAGGTCGTGCTCATCATCTGACCGGTCAGGGGCAAGGGACTTCCAGTAGCTGGTGGGGCTGCAGGGAGAGAGGAATGAGGTCACAGAGGAAGGATGCTCTTTACCTTCAGCAGCAAAGCCTTTGGTCCTGAGGAGGCCCCCCAAATCCTGTCACAGTATTCCCCCAAGGCCACAAATTGAGGAGTACAAACCTTCCCTGGATTCCCCAGAAGATACTCAGAGCAGTAAGAGAAAGGAGCACATCGTTTTGACTCTGAAAACTTTTACAACTCCGAGGAAATTGATGCCAAGAGCAGTGGGTCTCACACTTGCATGTGTTAAGAATCAGCTGCAGATCCTCCGGTCCTCCCCCTGAGAAATTCTGATTTGCTAGCTCTTGAGTGAAATTCAGGAATTCTGCCTTTTCAGCTCCCTCCCCAGAAGATTCTGATACATGCAGTCCATGGACCACAACGACTTGGAGACCGGAGGTCTGGTGATTACACAACTACAACCTGTCTTAGTAAAGTTATTCCTAGAAAGATTCCTTCCAAGAATGGGGGGCTTTCCCCATTGAATTCTCCCAGATCATAACCCTTTTGCCTAATTGGGTTTTCCTAAGGCCAGTGAGAATTTCTGCCCTTGATCATGGCATCATCTACTCACAAGGAATGGAGACTCAGGATGTAGGAGCTGGCAAGACCTCTGTTTCAGGGTGGCATAGTCATCCCTTTTGTGGAACCATAACCCAACCCTGTAGAGTTTTCATCAGGCCACTGTAAGTCTTAAACTCTCCCCCAGCCAAGATGTGAAGAAGCATTAACCCTTGGATGGAGCAGACTCATGGCATTGAGGATGGATGGGACCTCATTTCCACCTCCAGTTAACCTTCTCCTTTCTTTTCCAAACCTTAGCGCAGCCTTCCCCTGCCCCTCCCACCTCCGCTGCCTCTGCCAGTCCAAGCACACTGTAATTTCAGCACTGTTGGAGAAAATGCAGCTCAGGGTGGCTCACCCCTACCAGTGAGCTGCACTCAGTGGGTCCCTGTCCTGTGCTCTCTGGGACACAGACTCCAGAGAGCTTCATCTCAGATAAACAGGAATTCTGTGATCCCGCTGTCCACAATTCTGATTTAAGAATCTGAGGAAGGCCCTTGTTTACCAGCCCTTTTGTAGTTCTTCTATCTCCAAATCAAAAGAGAAGGAAACAGCATGCCGCAAGAAAGAATCACATTCTAAGCTTTTCCAACTGCAGTGAAGAAAGGATTTGGTCACTGAGTACCTCCTGTGTGTGACACTGTCCTAGGCGCTCTGAATGTGCTATCTTATTCTTCACAATAACTCTGTGAAATGTCATGCGGAAGCTGGTTCAAAGAGATGAAGCATCTTGCCCAGGGTCACACAGCCAGTATGTAAATTTGAACCTGGGACCTTAGACTTCAAAGCCTTTTAGACTCCACCTCACTGCCAGACCAGTGACTACAGGAGAAAACACAACAAAACCTGCATTCTCCCCACAGGCCTGGGTGAGAGCCCAGGGGGTGTGTAAAGATAGGTCTCTCTTGCTCTCCCTGGGGAGAAGGAAGAGCCTGATAGAATACATGTTCAATTATGCAAAATGGTTCAGGAATGGGGCAGTCTGGTTAATAGTTATCGTATTTCTCATGAATGAATTACCATTTTTAAAGGAATCAGAATAGCACAAAACACATTTAATACAAACTAGACTGAACATAAATGAGTCTTACTTTGATGGGCCAAAGGCACTTAAAGACTCTGGGGTGTCTCAGGGACAAAATTACAAAGCTTAATGATGACTGTGCAACATAGAAAAAATTGGGGTTATTTTAGCTTTGAGGTTGTTTGAATTCTGAATTAGTGGGAGCCTGATTTTATTTTCACTTTTCAGACAGAATTTCTGGGCACCCAATGCTAAGGTCTGCTGTTGGGCAAAGGAAGGACTGGCTTTGTGCAAGTTCAGTGGGGTTCTTTTGTGGGCAGAGGAGGGGTGAGGTAGACGGTAGAGGTCTGGGACCCAGGTGCAAATGGGGTGCTCCTTTCCATTCTCACACCTCTCCTCAGAGTGCGGCTGCAGCCCCCACTTCCATATTCCTGTGCCTGCCAGGCAGACACCTGGATAAATGACAGCTGGGTTTCAATACTGTTCCAACCAGATGCTGGGTGCAGTAGCAGAGGCGGCTGGGAGGGGTAAACACCAGGCCTCCCTCCCGTGCTCTGTGCAGTCACAAGATCCCCCTGCTCCCACCTTGGGTGCTCTTTAGGCAGTCTCCTTCATGGCTTCTACTGCCACAGCTGTCAGAGAGCCAACAACAGGCAGCTAGCCCCTTCCCCAGGGCAAGAGTCAGGGCTGCAGTTTGAACATTTTAACCAAATTGTTTAAAAAGCTTTCCTCCCCACAAGCCAGTGTCTCCTGCTCCATGCTGTCACAAATGATTTGGTGCATAAGCTAATTCCCGCTGGGCGAGCCCAGGGTGGCAGCCCCCTCCCTTTGCTTTGCTATGGATGAGTTCGTGTTCTGAATTCTCACGGGTCCCCATCGCCAGGTGGAAAGCTAAGCCACCACTCTGCCCTGCCCCCACTCTTGCCAGTTTGTTCACCCAAAGCCAGTTCACGCTGAGTCCAACTAGGTCCTGCCAGCTCCATGTTGGTTGGCTAGCTTCTGGCTGGGTGCCCATCTCCCAGCAGTGAATCCAATACTCGTTGGAGGTGGTGGTGTGCAGGGTTTCAGGACTACTGTTTTCCTGGTGGACAAGAGAAACTATGCTGGTGGCTGAGGAAAGAAACAGGCTTTGTGTTTTGTTTCCTGCAGGGTCAAGGGTGACCATGGGCTGAGTCACTGGGGTTTGAAATGCACCAGTTGCTGGTCAGTGTGGGATGGCCTGGCCAGGTCCATGTCTCTCTCTTCAGGTATTGGTGCAGTGCTCAGAAGGGCCAGGCCCCCTCTGCTTTCCAAACTTCCCTCTGTGGCCCATCAGCTGACTTCCTGCACTGGGGGAGCAGGGCACTCAGCAGGGCTGCTGAGGGGAAGGCTGAGGCAGTAGACACAATATTATGACTCCTGTCTTTTCTCACTGTGCCACTGACAACAGCTCCCTAGTGCAACTGAGATGTTTCCTGCTCTTCCCAGAGCATCCTGCAACCATGTGCCACATGGGGGAAGCGACAGAGCAGGACTCAGCCTAAGGGCCTGGTTTCAGAGCAGCTCAGGGCCCAAGGAATCTGAGTTGACCATGAGCCTGGTCTGGGTTCAAGTTCTGCCTCTCCCAAACCCCCTCCCCCAATCCCATCCCATCACCACCTCTAAACAGCTGCAGGTGACATTCACTTCCACTGGCTCCATTCCTTAAAACATGACTGGTCCATTTCCGTAGAACCCAGCCCAAGTCAGCATGCTTGTTCAGCTGCTCCACTGCACGAGAAGCCCACAAGCATGCGACAGGTGTGTGTTAGTTCTTGCATCTAGGAAACACTGCCCATGCCCCAGGGGGCTGTGTTCTGGGGTCATACCACCAGAGAAGCAGCAAGCTTGCCCTGGGAGGATACTGTGCTGAAAACAGCTTCACATTACCACGGTGATCCAAATGTCACCGCCCACTAGGGAAACTGGCAACAATGGGATTCCAATGAGTCAGTCTTTGCCTTTCTTGCCGGGTAGGGGTGTGGGCATAAAGGGCCTAACAGCTAGATCTCCCTTCCCACAGGGAGAAGGCTGGGGGAGGCAGGAGAACCAGGAGGGGGCTGTCACTCAGCAGCTGCTAATTTCTATTCATTAAAACTTTACAAGATGAGCTAAGACAAGGTGACACCCATGTGTGGGCTTCAGGTGGGAGGGGTGGGGAGAGAGTCAGGCATCTCCAGGTCTGCTGCAGGGTGCGGTGCTGTGGAGGCGGCAGCTCTGTGAGCTTAGCACTCCTGGGCTTGAGATCCTTCCCAGAGTGGAAGGTAACACTGCTGGATGCGAGGAGAGCTGAGCAAAAGACCCCTTAATAGCTGATGATGCACCAGCCCACACTTGGAGGGTCAGCTAGAGCTCTTTCCTGGGCCCAGCCTGTCAGGGTCATGGACAGAAGCTCCCACATGCATGCTGTCAGCCACACAGGAAACATTTTGGCCATGTGCTCTGCCTTGGGTCCTATGGAGGAGTGGTTAATAGCAAGTTGAAAAGACTCTTTGAATCCTGGCAACGTCATTTATTAACTACGTAACCTTGGCAAGTGACTTAACCTCCTTGAGCCTTGGCTTCCTCTTTTTCTATGAAGTGGGGCTAATCAGACCTTTGTTATGGAGTTAGTGTGAGGATTAAGGGAACAAAATGTGGCAAGTATCAGGAAGGGGGTGGCACTTGGCCCAGGGTAAGGAATTGATAAGCAGGAACTGTGACTGATATCACCCTCAAGCCCAGCTGATTGGGCTCAGGGCTCAGAATGACTAACCAGCTCAGCTGGCCCCTGCTCCCTGAGGTGGCCAGGAGGCTCTCTGAGGCCAAGTCTGCCCAAGAGGAATGCAGGAGGGGCCTGGGTGGTGGTGGGTGGGAAGGGAGCACGTTAGTTCACACCGAGTGGCACACGCCATGCTCTGCACCCCACGCCAGGCACCACCTACTGCACTAGTCGCTCTCAGGCCGGTACAGGTACCGCATCATCAGGCTGTCCACCTCTTTCTTGCGCTTCTTCTCCTCCTTCCGAGATGGCCGGTGCACCTGCCCAGCCTCCTCGTTCTCTGCAGCTGGGCCCTTCTTCACGCTTGAGCGGCTGTGGCCCGAGGCAGTAGAGCCGCTGGATGTCGACGAGGAGGACTCAGACTCCGTCTCTGTTCTCTTTCTTCTTGATTTGGACTTCTTCTTGCTCTTTCGAGAGCGCCCCTTCTTCCGCCGCCTGTGTTCCGAAGAATCTTCTGAGCTCGAGCTGGAGCTGGAGCTGCTTCTTCTCTTGCTCCGGCTCTTCCGGCTGCTGTGGGACCGGGAGACATCAGCGGCAGAGGCTGAGCGGCGGATGTTGGTGGACCGCTCTGGAAGGTCCAGTTGGGCACTCCGGGTACTTTGGACGCTCTTCCGGTCGTCATCCTCGGAGTCAGGCTCCAGGCTCCTCCGGTGGAATGGGACGGGCTTGTAGCTCAAGACTTCATTGATGGCAGCCTCCAGGTCTGGGTCCAGGTAGGACTGACGGCTGACGGGGCGGATGCTGGAGCCAAGAGGCTCATTCTTGGCAGAAGGCGAGACACGGGGCTGCGGTGGCACCGACAGGCTGCGGGCCAGCGACGGGTGGCTATACTGTGAGTGGGCCTCACTCAAGGCCACACTGGCTCCATCGTCCCAATCATCCAGGCAGCTCTGGCCCAGGGACAGGCGGGAATCGGGGCTCTCCCGACCTAGGGCCGAGGCCCGGCTCAAGGAAGGGCTGAGGGTCCTCGACAGGCTGTCGAGCCGGGAGGTGCTGCGGCGGGAACTGGGTGAGCCTGATAGCGAGAAGCTCATGGAGGAGCGGGTCCCGTCCTCACCGGAGCCACGCCGTGTGGCCGAGGAGGCCCGGCTGACGGGCGCAGAGACGGTTGAGGCCCGGTCAAAGTCTGAGCCCCACCGCTTCTCCAGCCCCCTGCTGGCACGGCCCCCGACCCCAGAGAAGACAGAGCCGCATTCATCAGGCTCCGAAGACTTCCTGCCCTGGCTTGGTTCCTCCCTGGGGCCCCCGCGGGCCTTCCGGGGGGGCCTCTCGGGGGAGGCGGCCCGCTCACTCAGGGTGGTGAAGAGTGAATCCTCGTCCCCAGTGCCCCCGATGGAGTCCTTCAGGGTGAGCCGTTTCCGATAGCTCAGGGAGCTCAGCACTGAGGCCGGCCTCTCCTCCACCCCTTTGCCCTCCTTCCCCTGGGTGTTGAGGGCCGTTCTGCCAGAGGGAGGTGAGGCCAGGGAGGAGAAAACCACGAGCAGCGGGTTAGGGGCAGCAGGGAGAGAGAGAGAGAAAGAGAGTTCGTGTTAAACCTGGAGAATAAAGGCACAGGGGGAGGGAGGAGAAAGGAGGAGAAATCGGCAGCAGCCCTGGCAAAGTGGCAGTGAGAGCGGCGGAGGAAATGAAGCAAAATAATTTGCGTCAGTGAAAATAGCTTCATGGAGAATGTCATGTAAATTAGACTATTGTTCTATTTCATCACTTTTTCCCCTCTAAAACGTTTAGTTCAATTTATTTCATTGTCAACTACCTGGAGCCTCATGCCACGCCGTGGTGAACGGCAGTGGGGCGGGGAAGGCGGCATTATCGGCAATAACAAAATGTTGTTTGGCCGAATAAATTAAACCAATTAGAGGGGGCCGCTGGGTGCTTGTGGTGAGGGGCTGGACTTGGGAAGGGGCCTCAGGGGACTTAAAGGAGAGGGATTATTTTTTCCATCCAGCCCATCGACTGTCTCTGGGAGGGAGTTGGGCAGGGTATGCCTTGGGGGATCAGGATGGCTCTGAGGTGGGAGGGGGGAGCCAGCAGGGAAGTGGCCACAGGAGTGGGAGCAGAGGGATGAGGGTGAGGTATGGAAATTGGAGTCTGGGTTCCAGGTAGCTGTGTGATCTGAAGACTGTGACTGGGCTGGAGAATAGGTAAATCCCTCCAGTGGATGGTTGTCAGCAGAAAGACGTGGGTGGGGGCAAGTGAAAAGATTAGAGGAAGAAGAGAATGGGCAGAGACAGACAGAATTGTGTCTGTAGCTATGATGGAGTCAGAGGAACCAGAGCCTTCTCTGCTGCTGTTCCTACTAAGACCTCAGAAATCCATGGCTGGCCCGGACCAGCTCTGTCCAGGGTTGTGGGATCCAGTGTCACCCTGTCTTGATTCCAATGGCCCAAACTATCAGGTAGTTTGATCAATATTTGTTAAGTGAATAAATGGGGTAAGGTGAAACATATACAAAACCAAAGCCCTGAGCCTGGTAAGAAAACATTGCCTGGGGAAAATAAGGGCACTGCAGACCCTGACTACAAAGAAACTGGAACATCCTATTCTCATTCCACATGCCGGGGGTGGGCCTGGGTCCCTCACGCACACACCACGCAAGAGAGAGACGCAGGCGGTATGAGGCCCGCCCTCTTTAGGATCAAGGCGCTACCAATCCATCCCTAGGGCACGAGGTGGCTTTTCCTCCCAGCTAAGGCCACATGCTCACCTGGAACTCTTCAAGCTGCCATCATCAGAAGCCGTCTTGGAAGGCCCCTTGTTTTTCGACAACCACGACTTGACCCCGTCGACCCGGTCCTCCAGCTCCGAGTCCACATCGGAGTCCCCCTCACTGTGGGATGAGGAGCAGAAAGGTAGGCAAGGCTGGGAAAAGGTGATCACCCTCGGCCCAGGAGGCAGCACTAAAGTGGCAGCAGGTTTGTCTTGGGCAGAGGTGCGGTGCGGGGCAGCATGCGCATCAATAAGTCAGAGAGAACAAGAGAGGTTAGACGGAGCACGCCATTCACAAGGACCGTGACTGGGCTCAGCAAGCCACGCTGTGTGACAGCCACCAAGAAGGCCCTGAGGAGTATGGAGGCACCTCCATCCCACTTTCTGCGACAGGCTGCTGTTCAGCCAGCCAATCCGACGAGAACGACAGGGAGATCGTCCATTCTTCAATTACAGATAAATGGCTCTCGATTAAAAAGAGGAGTCCTGGGCCCTTCAGCTCCTCCCTGAGGCCTATTCTGCTGTTTCTTGTCTGCCCACTCCCCAGAACGTGGCTACAGCTCCTGCCACTTTCTGTGCTTTCATTGCAGGAACTGGGCTGCTGGCCATGGAGCAGAGAAGAGAAGGGCCTCATTATGACTTCAGGTGAGCTTGACCCTGGAGTCTCCTGAGCTGAGGGCAATGCCAACCTGGGCACAGTCCATATTTCAGACCCATCCCACAACTTCCCTTGGCTCTCAAGAAACAGAGAAAAGACAAGGAGAGGGCAGCAGCATTTCCTACAGGGCTGGCAACAGCTTCAGAACTCAAGCTGCACCCTGGAGATCCAGGGGGGACCAGAAAATTCCAGACAAGGGCTCTGTCTTTTCCAGTCCCCTCTTCCCTCCCTCAGGAAACCTCCAGCTCCTGCTCCCCAGGGCTCCTTCTGGTCAAGCTGGCCTGAACCCTCTCGACTTGCAGGAAAGCAGGAAGGAGTCAAATTCTGACTCTGGAATCATGGCAACCTCCTCAGAAAGCAACAAGGGCTTAGAGACAGCTTCTGAGGGAGAATGCTTCTAGAATTCTGCAAAATGTCTGCTCACCACATTCCCTGCTACAGATATGCTAGGATTTCTCCTTGATATAAATTTCCTTTCATCTATGTCAACAGGAGCAGCCCCATTCCTGAATTATGTTCCTGAATAAATAGGCACACAGGCGTGTGCGTGTGTGCATGTACGCCTGTGTGTGCGTACACACACACACACACCACACACACACACCGAGGAAACCACCAGACTCTGTTCTGAGGGCTGTGAAGCAGCATGACTTGTGGGGTGGGCAATAAAGAGGCATATTTTATGGGATTCTGTCAAACACAGAATTATAACAAAGACGAGGCTGGCTGATGCCCCGGGTAAACAGGAGTTTAGGAGACAGCCCCGAAACCGCTAATGCAAGCCCTGTGCCTGTCCGAGCATGGCAGATTTACTATGGTGCACGGGCCCCGTGGAACGCCAATACCACCTAATTTATACACCCGTGCAAAAAACCTCCTTCTCTAGCTTTAGAGCCTGTAATTTATCACCGCCGTTCATAACCATATTGATTGCCTTTAGAAAGGAGGTGCTGTATGCATCGCAAAATCTATGCCTACATGTTAAAAGCGTTTCTGTATAAATCTCCCTTAATACTGTGCTGTTTACTGCTTTCATTAAGGTTATGGCAATAACAACTGTATCTCTAAGTAAATCGAAACATTATTTTTCTGCCCGCCTTAGCACGCTTGCTCAATAACTTGGACCTGGGGCCCAGAGGTGCTGAGGAAAGACCCACACCACCCTCTGCCATCAGCGGAACCCAGCTAGGATCCCATGCCCCGTGTGCCTGCGTGAGTGCACACTGGTGTGTGTGTGTGTGCATGTGCGATAGTTTAGAATATATCTTAAATGCACATTTTATCAGCCCTCAAAGCTCCTACAGCCCAAGGATAGCAGGGCTGGTACACACTGGGGACAGACAGTCATGGGCCTGGAATACGAATTTGCCTCCTTATATTCAGAGCAGTGAATGGGCTGAGAAGCTGGCCTGCCTGCCCTTGCCTTCCCTTTAGTCTTAAGCCTATAGAGGAAGTTTGGATTCTTTTCCTTAAATAATCAGGCCTGTAAACAAACTCCAGGGGCAGGCAGGCTCAAGGGGCAGTTGAAATTTTAAATGGTTGGAATTAAACCTCGCGTCAAATACAATTTATGTCCAGGCTCATGTGCTATTAGTTAACTGGGAGCCGAATCGCGGGGGAACAAACAAACGGAGACAGAACGGCGGGGGATATTAATTGTGTGTGACAACCGGGCTCCAGCGGCCCTCTATCACTGTTACACACTATTACATTTATCATTAGCTCTCGCGGAGTCCTTTGCACTGCCTGCCAGCCCATCCCGGCCAGGGGAGGAGGCCTGCCAGACAAGAGAGAGTGGGGGAGGAGACCCAATGCCACACTAGAATAACAACCTCTAAGACCAGCCCTGTCCAACCTGAGGGAGGATCACCCAGATGCACCCGGAGGCCGGCACATCTGCACCTCAGGCCTAGCTCCCACCCAGAAAGGAGGAATGGAGATGGGGTGGATTTGCTGGGCTCCCCGCCACCTCATTGACAGCACTGGCACAAATGCCCGGGGCGTCTTTCTGCCCGTGGTGCCCACAGGGAGTAAAGTAAACACATCTGGCTGCGTTCCCTTCCCCTGCCATGGCAGAGCAGCCCGTGATTAGCTGCCTGAATGCTTTCTCCAACAAGAACCTGTTAGATGCCCCTCACCTTCTACCCTTGTCTGCCAAAAGAAGGTGATGGACCTTTCAAAGCGAAACATACCCACTTCTTTCAGGCAGCTCAGGCTCCAAAGGAGCCCAAGGATGTGGATAAATCCAGATCAGACTTTTCCCCAGAGATAAGGAGGCCAGGAAGTGGCTACACTTGGTTTCTGAGGGAGGAGAGGGCTGAAGCTCAGGAAGGCAGACTGTGGGTACCACCCCATGAGGCTGAGCTCTCTTTTCTGATGGAGCCCCAACCCTGCCGACCAACGGTGTGAGGGCCGGCTGAGCCTTCCAGTGTCAGGGCACCCTCACTGTCTGCCCCTCTACATCTGATGCAGGGCCCAGCCCGCCGCCCTGCCTCCCTCAGGACAGAGTCAGCCATGTTAGCGTGAGAGATCAGCTCAGAGGAAGAGCTGAGGCTGTGGGTCCACATGCGGCATGCAGCGGGGCCGGGAGCCCAGTGTTAGGGGTGGTTAGACACCACGCGAGGAGAGGCAGAGAGCGCGTGCGCTCCAGTCCTCACGGTTTATTCTTTCTTTTCTGATACTTTGTCACCATGTCCTGCAAACTGGAAACAGAAAGAAAATGGTGGGCATGGGGGCCAGAAGAAGACAGAAAAGTCAACCGGCAAACCAAGATGGACCCCTCAGTTGAGGACCCCTCTTTCCTCAGGAAGACATGGCTCTGGACCGCAGGATAGTGCTGTCCTCAGAGGGAGGTCCAGGCCTCCTCGGGCACCTTTCCTCTGCTCCAAAGGAGCAGGCTCCCTGGGTGGCCCAGGAGCAGGATGGGGTCCATGTGGGATAGGGGCAAGTCTGGGGGTCTGCCCAGGGCAGCCTCGGAAGCTTTTTCAGGGCCTGACCCCACGGTCGGTCTGCCTGCCTCGTGACTTCCTCCTCAGCCTAAGACTACAAATCTGTCTCTCCTAAACCATTCCCTGGGTGGGTTTTATGAGAGAAAATCTCTGGCACGGTAACAAGGCACCATGGCCCTTAAATCTGCTCTCCCCAGAGTGGGGCAGGCGCCATCGGAAATGCAGTTAAATGGGGGAATAACTCATCTTGAACAGGCAGAGCTGGAGAGCCAGGTCCCTGAGAGGCCTGGGGAGGAGGACCAGGAGGAAGAGGGGAGGACGTCTCACCCGGGCAGCACCTGTCCTGCCCTCAGCCACTGCAGGACAGGGTCCATGCTGGGGTCTGGCAATTACGGGAGGGTGGGTTGGTGGCTCAGCGGCGGGGAGACCAAGGTCGCAGCCGTTCTACCTGGTCATGAGGGCTTCCGTGCCAGCCCCAGCAGCCATCGAGGCCCCCTCACCTGTTGATGAGGTCCTCGTTCTCATCGCTCTCCATCTCATCCTCAATGGCAGCCTGTAGGTCCCCGATGCGCTTGAATGCCAGTTTCAGATCGGCCTGCAAGCTCTGGTTAGCAGCTTCCAGACTCTCCAGATCCATCTCCTAGGAGGGAGAGGGGGCAGTCTAGTCCACAGGAGGGCTAGTCTCTCATCCAGCTGCCCCAGAAAAGGCCGGTTTCAGTCTCTCTGGGCCAGGCAACAGTTACATGGGTGCTGCTGTGAGCCTACAGGGTTTTCTCTCTGATGTTGCTAGGCTGTTGGGGCCTGGCTTTACCTGATGGAGACTCTGGTACCATGCTTGGCCCCCTGGCCCGCCTGCAGGGCTCTCGATATGTCCTCTTCCCTTCAATTCTCTAAACCATGGCCCTTAAATTTCTGCTTTCCCCAGAATGGGGCCCACCCCTACCAGCCCAGGGGTGAGGTGTGTGCTTGGTAGTTTCTCAGAGGGCTGCCGGCCTGAGGCCTCGGGGTCGGTGGGGCGGGCATTACCAGTTCATGCTTCTTGCGGCTTGCCTCGGCCTCCTTCCTGGCAAGCTCGCTCATCTCCTCCTTGGTGTCCCGGAGTTGTCGCTGTAGCCTCTTGTTCTGCTCCTTCTCCCGGTTCTCAGCTGCTATGCGCTGATCCCGTTCCTCGGTCAGCTTCTCCATGTTCTCCTTGAGCCGGCTGCCCAGGCTCTGGACAGGGCGGTGGGAAGAGAGGCCCATCAGCCAGGCAGAGAGCAGGGTGTGGCAGAGCTCTGGAGTCGGGAGGCCTGGGTCCAGCTCCGGCTGCCCTGCTCACTGGCTAGGTGGGCAAGCAACTAAAGCCCCCAGAGGGGGCTTCTTTTGCCTTTCCGTAAAAGGGGGAGAATAATACCTATTCCCCAGGGGTCTTTTAAGGACCAAACAAGGTAATGTATGTGAAGGCACTCTGGAAGATGAAAGATACTACCATTATCATCATTACCACCCAGGTCAGAGGAGGACTCTGGCTAGAGCCTGGGCCTGTCCATACTGACACCATGTGTGGGGCCTCCACGGGCAGCAGGGCTTCCCTCAGAGACCTTAAACCCAGAAGCTCCAAAGGCTAGATCCTGTGCTCAGAGGTAAATGGCTTTACCAAGAATTCTGTATTAGAAGGAGACTAAACAGTCATCATATGCCAAACACAAAGCCAGCCCTCTAAGCCTGATGAATCTCTCTTTCCCCAGAAACTTGAACACATCCTTCCCTTCTGGGCCATAGTATGCTGAGCGAAAAATGTCTAGGAGATTGGGGCAGAGTGTGAGGGAAGAGTCCTGCTTCTGGTCCTATCCTAGTTCTCCACTCTTGGCCCCCAGCCCTGTGTCTCTAAAACAACAGAACTAGGCCACATGATCTCTGAGGGCCATATGTGCTTAACATTCTGTGTGTCTAGACCACAAAACTGCCTTTCTGAGCAGAAGGAAAAATGAGAGAGAGAGCTGAGGAGAGGGATTGGGGCCCACAAGAAAAGAAGGCAGATGCAGCAGGTCTGCCCTACATCCACCAGACCAATGGCCTCCTCTGCCCTTTGGCAGCTTTGTGACCTCAGGCAAAGTACTGAATCCTTCCTGTATGTAAAATGTGAATCAAAACATCACCAAGGCAGAACATGGACTAACTCTCTCTAGCTCTCCTGAGGACTGTGACCCTGTCTTAGGAGGTTCAGCCATATTTTCTTCCTAAGTCAATGGTATCGATGCCCTCTGATGCCCAGTGCCAGCCCCAAAGTCACCTGGTTCCATCCCCACCCTCTTGCCTGCTCCACTGACTAAGGGTTGATGGGGAGGTGGCAGGGATGTTCCTCAGGACCCACACCCTGAACACGCTTCTCCTGGAGGCCCGTCAGTGCTCAGACAGACATCTACATGCTCAAGATGGAGAAGAAGAACTTAAAATAGGGCGAGAGGGGTGTAAATCCAGAGAGATCATTCTGCAAGCCTCTTTCGTCCTACCTGCTCTGCTGGAGAGGGAGGGGGCTGGAGCACACTGGCTTCCAGAGAGTAGAACCGAAAGGATTAAATGTAGGGGATGGAGATTACAGTTGGGAGGAAGGAGGGATGAAAAGGGAAGAAGGAGGTGAACAGGAAAAGGAGTAGCATTGAAGGGAAAAGAATGAAAAGTAGAGGGAGAGGAGAAATGGGGTGGGGAGAAAGGAAGAAATAGGACAGGGTAAGAAATGAGATTGGGGAGAAAATAAACATAGGAGAAGAAAGAATGGGGCAAAAATGAAGGATAATGAAGGGAGAAGGAGAAAAAGCAGAGATGGGAAGAGTGGGAAGAATTGAGGAAAAAAGGGAAAAGAAAAGGGAAGGGGGAGAAAGAGCGAGCAGTGAGATGAGAGGACAGACTCCAGCCCTCGCAGAAGTGGCGCCATCCGCTGCATATTTATGACCCTGCCAGAGAGCAGTGAGGGGACTGGCGCAGGGAGCACACGGTGGAGGAAAATATGAAGACGAAAAGCTAAGCTGCTCTGGTCCCTTGGCAGAAAGCAAGCACGGAAACAGAATGTAAAGTAGGCAGGCTCCGTGATGCCCAGAGAGCGGGCTGGGTGGGCGGGGGAGAAGGCACCCGCCCTGTCAGCTGGCCTGGCAGCTTGGCAGAGGCCTCTTAGGAGCGGCTGCAGGCCTGCCCAGCTCTGCTGAGCATGCGTGACTCCAGCTGCTGGGGCTGCTCTGCCCTGCTGCTCACTGCGGACCAGACTGGAGGAAGTGTGCACCCACCTCCAGCCGCTTCACTTGGGTCCTTTCGAACTCCAGGCGTGTCTCCAGCTCTCGGATCTTAGCTTCTTGTCTGCTCACCAGGGACTTGTCCACCATGGACTGCTCCAGGAACTCCACTTGGCTCTGAAGGGCTTGTAGCTGGAGGTGCAGGGCAGGAAGGGAAGAAAGAACTGAGCCTAGAAAGGGAGGGAGCAGGGTCTGTCCCCCCTTCCCTGCTGCAAGATCACCATGGTGACTAGAAGGCCGAGGGAGGGAGAGATGCCCAAGGGAGGTGGAAGGATGGGGCCCTGAGCCAGAGGCATTCCCCATCTGGCCCAGCACTGGCATGGATTTTGCCCTTTGGAGAGAAAGGAGAAAGCTAAGGACCAGAGAGGGAATAGAAATGCGAAACGAGGCAGCGGAAGCCAAAATGTCTGCTACGGTGACATGGCTCTAAGCCTAGGCCTTTGCACTTGCTGACGATGCTCTGTGGATGACGGATGGCAGAGAGAAGCGGGTGCTGGTCTGTGAACTCGAGGGTTCATCCCCACACACAGCAATCCTGGCACCCTGTCTCTACTAAGGGAGACCCTGGTCTCTACCTTTTCCTGCAGCTCCTGCTTCTCTTTGTTGGCTTCTTCTAGCTGAGCTTGGAGATCATTCATCTGAGCCAGGTCCCGGGAGGCCTGGGAAAGGAGAGAGTGCTGAAGCAGGATCCCCTACAAGCACCAAATTCGGCTCACTCCACCCCACATGGAGGGCCAGGGCACGCAGGCACTGTGACCTCCCAAAAGAAGTGGCTGTGCTGGGGGTCTACGAGGAGGACCAGAGGACAGTGCCGATGCAGGGTGTGGAGGGGCATTCCTGGGCAGGTACCTGAGCCACGGCTGCCTTGTGCTTCTTCATCAGCTCATTCATGTCCTCCTGATCCTCCTCCAGCCGGTTCTGGATCTCATTCTTCTCCCGCTGAAGACGGCTCAGCTGCTCCTCCAGCTGGACAGAGGCAAAGACAGATCAGAGAGCATTAGGCCTAGTGTGCCTGGTGGTCCTCAGTGGGAAGACTGAACCTCCCCCAGGCCACTTCCAACGGGAGGGGCTGAAGACGGGGCCAGGCCCACCTGTGGGAGTAGGTGCCAGGACCAGTGATACTCAGAGAGCTACCTGTCCTGCTCTGGGCTGGGAGCTGACGGAAAGAGCTGTCTTCGCCACTCAGGCAGACCCTGGGCTAAATAACGAAGCTCTTTGAAGGCTAATGAGAAGGCAGAAAAGGTCGGTCCAGAACCAGCGACACATCCTCCTAGCAGTAGCATCTAAGCTCTAACCTGTGCACACTCTGCCCCCATCAGGCCCCAGGGAAGGACCCCTCAAATCTGTGAAGCTCTCCTGGCATGGACTCTTGTTTTCTCTGGGACTGCCTGTTTCCCGGCCTTCCAGCCCCCACAGCGAGTCCACTCCTGGGGGGAAGGGAAGAGACAGCCAACAGCAGCTTCAGGAAATGAATGAATCTATTAGCCTGTAATTCCAAACCAAAATGACTGCGTTGGCTCCTTCTCTGCCCCATCCATCTTGTTACCGGGCTGTGGGGAGCTGGGGAAGCCTCCGCCAAGAAATTTATTAACTTGGATTTAAATAAAATGGTAATTTTATAACAGCCTTTTTTTTTTAACACAATTAAAGAATTTGAATTACTCACCTGAAAACTGCTGAGGAGCACAAATGTCACAGAGATAAATCAAGCCCAGGAGACTGGCATCTCTCAGCAGCCAGGGGACCAGCTTGGGGGCCAGGAGCCCTGAGTCAAGCCCAGCCTCCTCCCCGGCCCCATTCCCCGCCCGAGGAGCTACTGGTGGCCGCATCCCAGTAATGAGTTTTCAGCCGATGGATGGGCCGTGGGAGAGGTGGGGAATTAAAAGGGAGGCATTAAATAAGCGCTCTAATTAGCTGCCGCTTGGGCTTGTCAGTGGGTTGGCCAGGGGCAGGGGAGGGAAACGGAGCCATCCCATCCTCTTATCGATACTTCTGCTAATCTCTAGGTACCTGTTTACATCTCTCAGCCATATTAGCTGCCTTTATTTATGGTGTTGGGGCCTGTGGCCAAGCTCCCACAGGCAGGTGGTTAAGCAGGGAGATGGGCCCTTGCTGGCTCCCTCCTCCACCTCACCCCCTCCAGGTCTCTGCTCTGAGTGGGGAGAGGCAGAGGGTAGGGGCAGCTCTCCCTGCAGGAAGCCCTGGTGAAGGGGCCAAGCTGGGGAAGGAGCCCTGTTGAGGGTAAAGGGAGCCGACGTCACAGCTACACTCTCCCCCAGTCCCCGAGTCTGGCCCCGCACACCCCGCATTCTCACCGCTGTCTTGGCTTTGGCGATGTCATCGATCTGCAGATGCAGGTCTTCGATCTCCACCTCCATTGCTTTCCGCGCCTTCACGGCTGCTGCACAGGTGAACTCTGACTCCTCCAGCTGGACACAGAGCCACCCCCGCCCCAGGGAGAGAAGTCAGCCATCCCCCTCGGGGCAGGAGGGCTGTGCCAAGTGCTCACGGGGAGAGGGAACCCAGGAGCTCTCCTTCTCCTCCTTCGTTCACTTGAGACCCCGGGGCTGTGATGTGTTGTGGTGAGAGCACCGCATCTCCTCCCGTGATGGGGTGGTAGGTGCTGGGCCCACCCACAGCATCCTGGGCTTGGCGGTCATGCACACTGCATGGGCAGACCCTGGGGAGTCTGGGTGCTGCAAGTGGCTTCTCCCCACTTCTCTGTCACCTTCCTTCCCAAGGACTCAAGAACCACTGAGAGGCCAGAGGGAGAGAAAGAGAGAACTGAAAAACTAAGCTTGGTTGCCCCTGGAGCTTATGACTTCCTGTCTGCAGATACCTGGTTCTTCAGCTGGGCAATCTCCCTCTTGCTGGGTGCGTTGTTCTTCAGGTGGTCCAGCATGATCTGGGCATCCGCCAGCAGGGCCTTGGTGCGCTTCAGGTCCTTTCGGAGCCGCTTCTCTGACTCAAAGTCCCGCTGGTTCACCTGGGTGGACATCAGAAGCTGGGGCTTCCTCCTGTCTTCCCCAAGTCCACTCCTCACCCTGCCCTCACTCTCAGAGACCCCTCATGAGCAATGAAAGTAAAAGTGCCAGGATCACGGTGGCCAGTGAGAAAGCCCGGGGCTGCCATGGATGGTGATCACCCCCTCCCACAGGTGATGACAGCAGGCCCTACAGAGCTAGCACCCTTCCTGTTCCCAGCTCTCCCTGTGGCAGCCAGCAGTCTCCACTCACCTGGTCACTAAGCGTGGCCAGCTTGCTCTCCAGCTCCCGCTTCTCCCGCAGCACCTTCTGCTTGTCCTCATACTCCTCCTCGAGCTGTACTTCCATTTGCTTTAACTGAGGACAGGGGTCCATCAGTCCCTTTAGTGTCCAGTGCTAGCCAGCCCCTTCCCTGCTGGATCTCCCCATCCCAGGAAAACAGTGAGCCAGGGCTGAGCATGGATGACCCCAGAAGGCATCAGACCCTGAATTTGAAGTTCCTAGAGTTTCAAGGCAGCCTGGGAGGGAGCCCTTATTCCTAAATTGGCAGGCTCCACTGGGCTAGGCTAGTTGCCTGCTGCTTGGCACAGAAAGGAGGGGGCATTAGCTTCTCAAAGGCCTGAGCTTCTTTACAGACCCTGAGAGTGCATATCGCAGCCAATGCCAGGATCCTGAGTGGAGTGTCCCAGTCCTGAATGGCAATGGAAGACAGTGTGGCTAAGGTAGGGAAACAGAACAGCCCTTACTTTAAAGCAGTGATGGGGAACTGGTGTTTACATTGGACAGGTAAGTGCCCACGGCCTTACCTTCTTCTGACACGACTGCCGGGCCTCTTCTACCTCCTCATCCCGACTCTCCATCTCCTTGGAATGGGTCTGCCTCATTCGCTCCATCTCCATCTCGAGCCGCAGCTTGGCCTGGAGGTGGGTGGGAGTAGGGACTGGGTTTCTTTCCCAGCAGTGCCCTGACCCCTTCCCACCACACCCCGATGGGCCAGTCTCCCCAGGCTTGGGAGCAGGGAACATCTCTGCCAGCAGTTCCCTTTGCTCCCACCTTGCTCCTGCAGCAGCTGGCTTCTCCAGAGAAGCTGAACTCCTCTACTAGATGTCTGGCACAGGCCCAGAGAAGGCTGCTGGGCATGGGACAGTCCTGCAGCTTTCCACTTGGCCTCCAGGCTCTAGCTCCCTGAACTGACATGGTGGCTCAGTGGCAGGCTGGATGGGCTCATGGCCCTCCAGCTGCCATGCATCCTGAGTCCCTCACCAATGGAGCTCAATTAAAACCTGTTCTTGTGGAAAGTACCAGGAAAGCTTAATTATCTTCACACTGTGGCTGGCACAGATCAGATGCTCCCTCAATATTTTGTGGGTAAGGGAACGAATGAATGACTGAATTTGGGATCTTGCCCTCCTCTGGCCCACACCCTGGGGTAGCTGTAGGGTCGATGGTGCCTCCCTTGGCCAAGCCCTCAGCACCTGCTCCAGCATCTGGATGGTCCCCGCCTGCTCATCCAGCTCCTCTTCCTGATCCTTGACTTTAGCTTCCAGGTCCCGGAGCTGTTTCTTGACCTTGGCCAGAGAGGCCTCATCCTTAGACTCTTGGGAAGAAATGTCCTGAAGCTCAGCCTCAAGTGACACAACCTTCTGGGTGAACCCCGCAATGTCCATGTCTTTCTCCTGGTGCAAAAAAGATGAGGCTGGGCCTGGGCTGGCCCAGACCTGTGAGGGGGATGGGGTGTGGATGATGGGCAGCCCCACACACCTCCAGTTGCTGCTTCAGGCTGAAAGCCTCGGCAAGGAGCGTGTCTTTCTCCCGCTGCAGCTTCTCCCGCTGCAGCTTCTCCCGCTGGGCCTCCTCGTGTGCCTGCGAGAGCTCACTGTCAAACCTGTGAGGAAGCGTGGTCATGACGGTTCCATCAGATAAGGGAAACGTCCAGGTCTCCAGCACCCAGAGGCTGCCAGAAAGTTGTGCCACAGATTCGGACAAGACACAAGTCAGGGATGAGGGGCAGTGCTGCAGCCTGAACTTGGGGGTGGTGGTGAGGTGACATTCAGGGGTTACAGGTCAGGACATGGAGGCCCTGCTGAGCAGCCTGGTCTGGGATAGGAGTGCATTTCATCAAGCAGGTCCACAGAGCCCTTTCAGCAGGTGGGCCTAAGAAGGACCCACAGACTGCTTCCATGGGAGAGGTGGACAGACTCTCCTCTAGCATTAAGCCTTGACCTTTTCCCCTTCAGTAGTTCAAAGAATGAAATGAGGGGCCAGGGTGAGGGCAGATGGGGCATCAGAATGGATAGAAATGGACAGACATCCTGCCTTGTCTAACTCACTTTCTACAGTTCAATTTGGCAAGTCCAAATGGAAGAGCTGGCTGCTGCCCCACCCGTGGGCACGAATCTCTGGCTGGGCCCACCTTCCCCAGCAGCACCCATGTCACCCCCAGGACACCCCACACCCGGCTGGAAGCCCCATTCCAACTGTGCCCAGCTCGCAGCGTGCTTCAACGGGTGCACGGTCCACAGTCGGGGGCTTCTTTCTTCACTTCTCCATTTCCCAGCCTTCCATTTCCTGCCCAGTGACTCTAAATAAGGAGCAAATTGCTGAAATTCCTCTTAACACCTCCCCTGAATAGCTAATCAGGTTCCTGTCAAAAATTGAACAGCTCATCCCCATCCCAACCCCACATCACTCACACTCACACACACACACACACACACACACACACACACACACACACAAAAGAAAGAAAGTAAGAAAACTCCGGGCAGCTGAAACCTAATAAGTTGCCCAGCGAGGAGTGTAGCAAGACGGTAACTAGGCCAAGCTGGCACTGTCATCGGGGTGCTCAGAGAGGGGGGTCCCACAAAGGGTGCCTGCCCCTAGGTAAAAGGGGGGGTTGGGAAAAGATAAGAACTAGGGAAGCAGAGGGTCATGGTGCTGGGAGGGAGGAATATAGGGTTTCCTATTTCCCCTTGCTCTCTGCAAAGCAGCAGCCTCACAGGCCCTAGTGACCCCAAGGGGCAGAGGGTAAGCCAGGGTCACTGGAAGGACTCAGCCCTGCCATTCTCATATCCAGAGTTGTGGGTGTGGGGTTGCCCCTTCACAAAGGCAACTGGTGACTCTGTTGAGAACCCGTCCCCTGCAGAGGGGATCTGGGTGCTATTCCCACTCCCTGGGGCACCCTGCTGTTCCTGGGGTGCGTGGGTTCCTCTGTATTACTAATAAAGGCATCCCATTCCCATCCCCAGCCAGGGAAATTAATTTAGATTGGATTTTCTCCTGTGAGGGCTGCCCCCTCCCTTTGTGTCATTATCATAATGAGATGGAAGTGTCACGGTAGTTTAATGACATTAGTCAGGAGAGTGTGTTTGTGTGGCTGGGGCAAGGGAGATACAGGGAACTGGGTGGGGGCAAGGGGCAGGGCTGCCATGGAGTGGTTCCTGCATGGGGCTTTGCGGATGCCCATCCTTTCTGGTCCCAGACAGGGTGACAGGCACACGCTAGGGAGAGCACATCGGAAAGTGGAGGCCTGAGTGAGCAGGCTGTCAGTGGGGATGTGGTCTGTGTGCTCCTCGGAGGTCAGGAGTGAGACCCTGACTCACACTCCAGGGTGAATGACCACGCAGGCAAAGTGCCTGGCCAAACTCAGGCCCTCCCTTCTTTCCTCCCTGAAGGGAGGCAGGGAGCCCTGTCTGTCATGGCTCTAGAAAGTCCTCTGCGCCCAGGGCAGGGGATCCACCCACCTTCTCTGCTTCTTCTCCAGCTCATGGTTGCGGACTTGCTGGCCCTCCAGGTGCAGCTTGGTGTCCTGCAGCTCAGCCGTCAGCCGCTGACACTTCTTCTTGAGCTGCTGCAGGGCCCGCTGGCTCTCGTCGCTATCTGCCTGCAGGTCTCCAAGCTAGGGGATGAGATGGGGTGCAGGGTTGCCCAGGGAGTTTTAGTGGAGGGCGTGGAGAAGGAAGTGAATGAAGGAGGGGGGGATCGGGGATGAGGGATGAAGCCAGGGTCATCCAGGGAACCTAAGACACCCTCGTAGTAGTTTACCCTTGGTTGTTCCCTATACCAAATGGCTAACAAGTCAACCCTTCCCTATTGCTCCCAGGGCCTGCCCGGCTCTGGCCATTCACTGGGACAACATGTGGCACCAAGCTCCTCCCAGCCCTCCCAGGCACAGGCCTCTACTCTTTCTACCAGACTCACCCGCCTCTCCAGCTGCCTCTTGTTCTGCTGCTCCACCTCCAGCTTGTCCTCAAACTCCTGCTGGAGCCGCTTCTTGGTGAAGTCCACCTCCCGCACTGCTCGCTCATACTTAAGGCGCCACTCGCCACCTGTGTATTTGGGGCAGAATAGGGAGGACTGCGCTGATGAGTGTCCCCGAGAAGGGGCAGAGGAGGTGAAGGATGGGGCAACAGATGGAGTCAGCCAGAGGGACTCAGAAAGGCTCCTGGAACAATGGCTTCCTCCCAAGACAGAAGGAGCCACTAGCTGGGAAAAGACTAGAGATGGCGATGTGGCTACATGTGCTGTCTTCTCCCCTGGGACCGCCAGATCATGGTCCTTGGATATAGTTCTTGAACATCATCATTATCACGATTGCCCATGGGTAGGTTTCAGAGTTCGCCACTCAGGCCACTGCCGAGTCCTCCAGCCTCTGACCCACCTGTGTCATCATCATCCATTTCCCCGTTGATCTCAGCTGCCCGGATGAGACGGGCCTCCATCACCTCCATTTCCATCACCTCCATTTGCTTCTTCAGTGCATCATACTGGGTCTGCAGAAAGATGGTGATGAGGTGTGCAGTTCCACCCCTTCACTCAGTACCATCTGCACCCCTGAACCACACAGACCATGGTCACAAGCTTACCCAGGGCAGACAGGGCTGCTGGGCTGGTGACAAAGATGCCACCTGTCCTTGGAGGAGGAGATGGGCACTAGAGTGGCAGCCCTAGCACAGCCTTGCCCTCACCTGCAGCTCCTTCATCTCTTTCTCTGCCCGGAGCCTCTCCGCAGTCTCCGCGTCCAGCAGCTGGGAGGCGGACTCTCCTGTGTTACGTTCATCCGTCAGCTCCGATGTCAGCTCAGAGATCTGGGGTTGGGGGAGGGAGTCACCACCAGTTGAAATGCCTGCCTCACTCAGCTGGAACACCGGGAGGGTGGGGTGGAGGCTCCCAGGTGGCTGCCCTGCAGAGGTGGGCAATCTGTTGGGTGCTGGGTATCGCTCACCCGGGTCTCCAGCCGGTCACTGCTGAGCCGCAGCTCATTCCGCTCCTTCTCCACCTTTTCAAGCTTGCTTCTCAGCTGCTGGATCTCCTCCTAGGGTACAGTAAGGAGGGCAAAGTGAGCCAGAGGCACTGCAAGAGGTTGGGGCTCGGGATCTGCACTCTTGGGGTGAGTGAAGCTGGTGAAGCTCAGGCCAGGACATGAGGGATCAGGAAGCCACTGCCTCCCTGGGTCTCTGTCGGTAGACCCTTCCCCATGTGCCAAGGAGGCCTGAGGTCTTATCCTAAGAGGATACCCAGGGGGTCAGCCAGCACGTCAGATGGATACCTTCGGTTTGCTGGGCATAGTTCAAGGACACTAGCTCTCTGGACTAAACAAAGGAGCACTTGGGAGCCCAAGACAAGCCGGCAAACCTCTTGCCCACGTGGATGAACTCCAGCCCTTCCCTCCTGGCTGTGTGGCCCTGCCCAGGCTGTCACGTACGTCTTTGTTCCGGATCTGCTCCTCCGACAGCTGAACCTCAATAAGGGGTCGCACGGTGGTGAAGAGCTTCCACCAGGGCCAGTCCTTTACCCCTTTGTTCTTCTTGATGTTCTTCTGCACACAGCGAATGGCTAGGTCCTGGATCTAAGTTGGGGTGGGAGTGGCGCACAGCAGGCTCTCAGTCCCATGCCTAGCCAGGACCCTCCCCAACACCAGCCCAGCTGCTGGGCTGCTCCTCTGGCCACCTGACCTCGAGTTAAGCATTCCCTAAACCACCCTTGCCCCTGGCCTCCCTCCATCCCTCAGAGAGTGGGCGGCAGAGAGCCAGCCCCGGGAGCACTGCACTGGGCACTAACTGCTCCGCCGTCATTAGGAATAATTTCGTCTGCTTTATTTGCTGCCTGATTATTTCCAGCACCCTGGCCTAGATGTGCTATAAAACCTAATCTTGCTGAAACACAAGAGGCGGCGGTGCTGGCTGTTTTATGGACTTGCTAATAAGAAAAGGAGTCGCTGACACAGCTCCTTAATCTTCATGGAGCAGCCTATGATCCAGAGCTCACCTTTGCCTGGGCCCTGCTCCCCCACCACCCTAGCTCTCAGACCAGGCCACATGGCCCCATTGCTGGGCACACCAGCACTCTCCCTGGCACGGGGGAGCTGCCCACCCCAATCCTGGCCCAGCCCAGAGCATGGTGCCCCTGGCAGGTCCTGCCTCTTCTCCCCCAGGTAATAACTCACTGTCCCAAGACCAGCCTCCCGCCCTGCATGTCCCCTAGAGTGGCCCTCCTAACCCCCACCCCAGGAGCCAGCTCTGCCCGTCTAGGTTGGGCTGTGGGACGGGGATGTCCCTGGAGCAGCACCTTTTTCTTCTTGAAGTGCTGGCGGGCCAGGTAGCCCCGGCAGGCCGCCTGGAACAAGGTTAGGTTCCTGCTGGTTTGTTCATCCCGCTGCTCCTCCAGACGTGCCAATGTGCCCGCCCGGAAGAATACCTGTGGAGAAGCCAGCCAGGTGAAGGCGGGACCTGAGCCGGGGGCCACCCGGTGGAGGAACAAGCAGCTGGAACAGAAAACCAGCAGGCCTGGGAGTGTGGCTCTTGGCCCAGGAAGAGCCTGAAAACGCCAATGTCCAAGAGAGGAGGGAAGGAGCAAGAAGAGGCCCGGGCAAGGCTGAGGGAGGAGGGCCAGGCTGGGGGCTGGGAGGTTTTGGAAGGGGAGGAGTAAGGTGGGAAATCCAACTTCTAAGAGAGATGAAAAGAGACGCCAGAGGGAAGGTATCTGGGACAAGAAAGACGGAAGCAGCTGCTGTCAAAGGGGGAGGACGCCCCTCAGCAACACCTAATCGGGTGGCTTCTTCCCCCAGGGCCGCCAGCAGCTCTGCCCATCGACGCTGTGCCCCAGCACACCG